GTCCAGCCCTTCCCCAGCCCCTCCCCCTTGGTTCTTCCACGCAACAAGACCCAGCCCCTTTGACCATTACGTGCTGGCCGCCTGCCCCACCCCACGCCCCTAGTGTGCACATCCTGAACTCTCACATCCTCCAACAACTGCATCCTCAACGCCCTCCCCTCACACCCCCTCTGCCGCGCCCCCCCCTTCAGGTGTGGATCGTGTACGCCCGCAAGGCCATCGGCCCAAACTTCTTCTCCACGCGCCTCAAGGCCCCCACCACGCTGCAGGAGCTGCTGGCCATGCCGCGCTCCGCACCCGTCAAGGCCAGCAGCAGCGCCTGGTGGGCGGTGCCGGGCCCGCTGCAGCCCGCGCACGTCGGCGCCTGGGCGCCCTACAAGCCCGGGGTGGACCCGCTGCTCGCGCTTGGCGGCGGCGGCGGCGCCGATGCTGGGGCCGCGGGGCAGGAGGCGGGGGGCGAGAGTGCAAGCGAGGAGGGACCAGAGGGGGCAGGGCCGGTGGAGGCCGGGACGGGTGACGCCCGGGAGAGAGTGGAGGGGTCTGGAGAGGCTGAGAACTATGCGGCGCCCGCGGCGGCTGCGGGGCTATCCCATGAGCAGCAGCATCAGCAGCAGTGAAATGGTCCAAAAACCTTACTGTTACTCTTTTGGCTGAACCGCATTCAAGCTGAAGCAGTGGTTGGTCACCAGACAGCCCAGGGAAATGAGGGTGTGATTGGTGAGCGGCTCCAGATGCGTGCCAGTGCTTGACCTGTGCCGGAGGCCAACCCTGTGCGAGACAGCCGGAGAATCCCACTACACTAGCAGCAGATTGCATCCAGGTAGCGGCGCAACTAATGATGTGCCCGCCGGCCCTGCGCTAGCCCCCCCGTGTTACTGCAAAGCTGCCACAGCCGCCGCCGCTGCGCCAGCTCAGCTGCCACCGCTGCAGCGCGCGCGCCGCCTTCATCCGTCGACCCCAGCAGCCCTGCTGCAGCAGCCGCCTTCAGCCCCGGCCCGGGCGCTGCCAGAGTGATGCTGCAGTCAACCGCGTGGCTGTGAGGACCACGGCACGCAGCTTGCGCCCATGTGCTAGGAGGCACGCGGCGGCCGACGTGCCGGGACGCGTCCAGCCGGCTCGCACCGCCTTGGAGCTGCTGGTGCTGGCGCAGAGGGTGTGCCTGCTGCTGGTCGTGCTCGCACACCCTTGAGTGGTGCTGCCGCTGCCGCTGCTGCTGCTGAGGGTGCTGCTGCTGCTGCTGGTGGTGGTGGTGCTGCTGCTGCTGCTGCTGCTGCTGCTGCTGCTGCTGCTGCTGCTGCTGCTGCTGCTGCTGCTGTGCGTGGGGCGGTGGAGACCGTGGTGGCGGGGCCCCTAGACTAAAGAGAGCCCCTCCCTGCAGCTGCAGGGCGCGCGATACACTGAGCGCACAGGAAGGGGGCCTGGGGGCCCGCTGCTCCGAGCCAATCTGCGCGCAATGGCGTGATGCAAAGAGGACGTTAAAGTGGCTGATAGAGTGTCTTGGAGCTGCCACCGGGTGCGCTTGTTAGTTGGGTGCACATGACGAGGCAACAGCGCATACTGTACCTATACGTCCAGGCGCGTCAGGGTCAAGGGCCGCACAGGCACACACTTTGCAACAGACGCTCCTCGACTGCAAAACCACCAACTTTCCGACTTTACGCAGACCCTGATCCCTGCGGTGGGGCTCACCACCGCCGAACGGGCCCGCCGCAGCAAATTGTCCTTGCAGACCATACCCCGGCCATCGCCCGGCCCTGGCCCTGGTCGACCGCAGCCAAACGCCCCAAGCGCCGCTGCAGCCCCGGCCATCTCCCGCGCGCGCGTGCTGGGCTCGCCGCCCGTCAGAGGCCGGGGCCCGTCCGCTGCTGTCATGGGGCGGTGGTGCCCGCCCTCGCGCGACGGCGGCAGGCAGGGCGCGTAGGAGGCTGGCCCGGGTGCTGTGGGGGAGCGGCGCGCGGCGAGCGCCGCCAGCTCCGCAAGCCGCCACTCGCTGAGTGGCGGGGGACTGAGCGGCGCAAGCGCGCTGCGGTGCTCCAGGCAGGCTATGCACTCCCCGCAGTGGGCGCCGCCGCAGGTTGTGCGGATCGCCCTCGCCATGGCTGGGCGGTGCGCAGCTGCGCCAGTGCTGACTGCGCGCGTGAAACTGCTTCAATGGCAGCACTGCCGCCACGAGCTGCCCCGCGTTACAGCCAATCTCGTGTCTTTCTTATTGGAGGACACTCGCGGCAAACGCGTACTTCTTGTCAAACCTGGTCTCCGCCAGCAGTGCTGCGCTCTGCGAAAACAAGTTATACGTGCGTGAGGCATTTGAGATAGACAATCTTATTAATCAACATCCGCACGGCGACGACAGAGGCTGCCTTGAGCAGTTGCCGCGCCGTCGCAGGACACCGCTCAGTCCTTGACAGCATGTGCGCATGATGCACGGCTGATCATGGTGTGCGGGCGGCCGCACACAACTGCGTCGAGCGCGAAGCACCGCCTATGTGAAGGGATGATGCCGCCCCCGTGACTGTGCCTGTGGGCGTCGACCGGCGAGCGCATGCGTCGGGTCTGCAGCTGGCTAGCCCGGGCGTCGACTGGCCGGCATGGAAGCTGAGGGAGGAGCGGCGGAGGGCGACCTTGCAGCTTCACCCGGGACGACTGCAGCAACAGCAAGCTGGCCAGCAGGGCCGCCACAGGACAAAAGCGGCATCAGCAGTGGTGCAGAGGCGCCTGCAGGTCGCACGCTGCCGCCAGCCCCCGTATCCGGCGCAGGAGCGAGCGCTGAGCCTGGCGCGGAGGCCACAAGCCCGCTGCAGCCGCAAAATGTGCAGCAGCCTCAGCCACCTGCAGCTGCATTCTTGGCTCGCTCGCGCCTCAGCAGACACACAGCGGGATGGGACAGCGGCAGCAACAGCGCCGCATGCACGCCGCAAGCCGAGCCCCTTGACAGCCTGCGGCCCAGCCCGTTGCCAGACGGCGGCGGTGTGCGCGCCACATTGGCGGCGCGGGCCTCTGGCGGCCCCGCGACACTCCTGGCTCTTGCGACTGCGGGTGCGGGACGCAGCGCCAACAGCAGCGGCAGCGCCCAACCTTACGGGCTGGCGAGGACAGCCTCCCTGCGGGAGGGCCCTGCCGAGGGCGACGCCAGCAGCATGGGCGGCGGCGGTGGCGCCAGCTGTAGTGTCGTGCCTCCTCCCCTGCTGGCGCCTCTGCTGCTGCCGCGCTGCGACTCCCCTGGGAGCATGAGCTTCAGCGGCCTGGAGGCGGGCGCGGGCGGCCCGGGGCAGCTGCTGCGGCTGCACTGTGTGAGCTTCAACATGAGCAGCGCCAAGCCGCCCACGCCGCTGCCGCCGGCGCTGCTGGGGCTGGACCCTTCTCAGCAGGAGCTGCAGCTGCAGGGGGAGGGCGCGGGCACCGCTGGCGTGCAGGGGTGGTCAGAGGGCGGCGGCACGGGGGCGCCTGACCTGGTGGCAGTCGCGACTCAGGTGAGGCTGGGGGGCTTGGGGCGGTGCCCAGGGGTTGTGGGGCCTGTGGACGCTGATGCGGTTCGTTTGCCCGGATCTTTCAGGGCTGACTGCCACCAGAAATGGCTTCAGCTGGGCATTGCTTGCCGGTCACCTAGGCGAGCTGAAATCAAGGTGTGGCGAGCGTTGTTGTCCCACCACACCGTTGTTGGGTCGCCTACCGACTGTCCCGCAGGAGTCGTGCAGCCTGCCCGATTGGGAGCGCATGGTGGGTGACGCCCTGGGGCCGCGCTACTGCCGCCTGGGCAGCGTCTCCCTGCGCGCCATCAGCCTCTCGCTCTGGGGCCGCCGCTCCCTGCGGCGCCACGTGCGGCGGCTGCGCGCGAGCAGCGTGGCGACAGGCATCGGCGGTGTCGTTGGGAACAAGGGCGGCGTGGCGCTGAGCCTGCAGCTGGGGGAGCTGTCCCTGCTCTTCGTGGGGGCTCACTTTGCCGCGCACGATGGACAGGCAAGCACCGGGCCGGGGACAAGAAGTGGCGTGAGCAATGGGGCCTGGCCTCCCCACATGAATGACCAGCCCTCCCCATGACAACTGGAGGAGCTGCAATACCTCTGCATTGCGTCAGGAAGGTTTTCAAATGATGTGGTAATGCCGTCCCAGATTACTGTTGCACCGCCTTGGCGGCGCTATGTTGGACCCACAATCATCCTCCTGAAACGCACGCAGGTAGAGCGCCGCAATGCAGACTACCACAGTATACGGACAGGCCTCTTTGCAGGCGGCGGCCTCGCCGCCTCTGCGGCGGGTGCCGCGATCCCCATAGGTGGCGCAAGCATGACGGGCGAAGGGCGCGGCAGCGGCTTTTCTGGGGGCGGCGGGGAGAGCAGCAGCGGCGGGATGTTCCGTGTGGGCAGCGAGATGAACCTGGCGCTGCTGTCACCCGGCGGAGGAGGCAGCCTGTCGCCGACGCGGCTGCGGCAGCCGGCCCGAGGGGCCTGGGGCGCGGCTGTAGAAGGCGGCATTGGTGGTGAAGGACCGGCGGGCAGCAGGCTGGGCCAGGGCTCGTTTTGGGACGAGGCACCGCTGGCGGCGGCGAATGCAGCCGGGACAGGGGCATACGCGCAGCAGCAGCAGCAGCAGCAGCAGCAGCAGCAGCAGCAGCAGCAGCAAAAAGGGGAAGGTGACAGCGGCAAGCACGGATCCCAGGAGGGTTCCGTGCCGTCAGCCAGGGGGAGGGGCGGCCTCTTCAAGCGGCTTGCAAGTGGCGGCAGAGCAATTGGCGGCGGCGGCAGTGCTGGCAGTGGCGGGGGCCTCTTTGCCCTCCGGCGGCGCAACAGGGTGGCCCCGGCCCCTGACGACCTCTTTGGCCTCCAGCCCCGCGCAGCCAGCTTCCCCAGCATGCTGCCAGGGGGGCTTGGCGGCGGCGCCAGCGGGAGCTGGGCGTCTCATCGGGCGGACGGCCTCGGAGCATCCCTCCGCCGAACTGGCGGCAGCGCGAGGGACCTGCGGGAATTGGGCGCGCGGTCGGGGCCACAGGGGCTGAGTGATTCGGGGGTGCCCAGCAGCGGCGCGAGCACGCGGTCAACGAGCGGCGGCGGGTCCTCGAGCGCGTCTGATGCGGGCGGCTTGGTGGCGCGCTCACGGTTGTCGTTTCTGCTGCCCTTTGGCGCGCTGGCGGGGTGAGTGCTTGTCATCAGCTTGGGGCACATATGCGGCAACTCGTTGCCCTGGACTACAACAATCATGACTGAAAATCTGAATTGCAAGGTTTGTGTGACTGATCACCCCACCACGCACTCCTGTTTGACTGCACAGTCACCTCTCGTTGAACCCTTCCAACTCCCTAGCATGTGCGGGATCTTGTTCCGCGCGTTTCATCCCGCAGGCCCGCAATACCCCCTGGCCCTGATGCCACTGAACAGCATGATGCAGTCTTCTGGATGGGGGTGAGCGGCTTCGCACGGCAGCCAAGTCACAGAGAGCAGTGCTTTCACGGGCTGCGCATCTCTGTGGTTATTTAGCTCGCAATGCCAGACGCGGTTACAGCGGTCATATCGCCGCCACTGCACTGCACTATGCAGTGCGGTGCTCCCTTACCCTATACTTGAATGAGCCAGGTCGTTGTGTAGCACTATTTTGTGGCGGCATGGCGCATGCTGTCGTCATCATGCACCGCAGGCACAGCCGTCACGCCCCAGAGCCCCGCGTGCCAAACACCTTTCGACATTCCGCACCCATGCCGTGCATCTTCTCCTGCCCCACTACCTTCACAGGACCTCAACTACCGGATCAATGGTGGGGGCCGCGTGGTGTCGTACCTGCTGAGGTCACCGCTGGCCGAGGTGCTGCACGCCAACGACCAGCTGGGGCTGCAGCGCCGGAGAGGGGCGGTGTTCGAGGTGCGCGCAGGATGCGCAAAGAGCGCAGCTGGGCGCTGCGGGGAGGCCGACACTGCCTGACAATAGATTTTGGTCAACTGGTCCTGATGTTGCGGCGCTTGAGGCACCTGGGCCGTGCACGCCGTCGAGCGATCCTGCAACACCAGCAGCGTGCGCCTCCCCACCCGCAGGGCTACCAGGAGGGCCGCGTCACCTTCCCCCCGACGTTCAAGTTTGAGCCCGGGCCCAGCGGACGCTACGCGCGGCAGCGCGCCCCCTCCTGGACGGACCGCATCCTCTGGAAGGCGCGCGGCGACGCGGCGGCGGGTGCGGGCCTCGCGGATTCCGCTCCTGCGAGCGACGGCGGCAGTGGCTTGCCGCGGCTCGGCGGGGCAGAGGACAGCAGCCGCGCTCTGCCATTTGCGGTGCGCCAGGCGTACTACGACTCTGTTCCCACAGTGTACAGCAGCGACCACAAGCCGGTGGTGGCGGGGTTTGAGGTGGCGATGGGGCGCGCCGCGCTGGGGCTGCGCGCGTCAGCCGGGTTCGGGGACGGCGGCGACGACGGGGGGGGCCAGGTGGCGGGCGGCTGCATCAGCCTGTGCAGCGTCATGTGACGTACATCGAATAGTGTGGTGGTTCACGTGGCACACTGCTGCTTGCACTTTCTGGGACATTTGTATCTCCTGGGATGCCGCCCATTAGCTGCACGCACTCATTGTTCCTGTCTGCACGCAGCTGTCAGGCGGCACTCGCAATAGAACATCGCCCCATCGCTGTCATGTGCAAGGTGTCAAGTGTCATAGTAAGAGTTTTGCCCTGACAGCAGGCATGTTGCCATCCAGTACCGTTGAAAGTCTGGGCCAACGAAGTCGGCGGCGCCCCCGGCTGGAGATGAGAGGCAGGTTGATGTGATGAAGGGCCCACCTATTGCGAGGGGCGCCGCGACAACATCGCTTGTAGCATGTTGCCTGGAGTTTGCCCCAGGTCACAAAGAATCGCTTGGCTTCGAACACTCTCGACCGAGTGACACTCACGGTCGTCGCACCGATTTTGGAAACTCCCCGAGTCAGAGGCGCATCGGATCGATCTCTTTGATTGCAGCAGCACTACGTATTCCTTGTCGCCTGTGCCGCCTAGCGCACCCGTGATCGCGCAAGTCACCAACCGAAAGCTCAGCAAGCGACACAATGCAGGCCAAAACGGCTACAAGTGAGTGCTGCGAATGCGTGAAGTGAACATGGCGCAGCGGTGGGCGTGGAGTGCGGGCTGGCAAGGCCGTCAGCGACCTGGAGTGCTCCCCTCCGCCAGCGGCGCTCGAGCGGCGATGCCTGCCCGTGTGTTCGCTGCGGCCCATTTAAAGCGCCTGAAGTGGTTGCCGAGGACGATCAGCTGGCGTCACATCATAGCACATCGCCCCGTCTCTGGTGGTTGCTGTACACGCAGACGCCAGCGCCACCCCACTCCATTCTGCGCTTGCCCGTCCCCGCAGCCACTCGCGCCCGCAGCGCCGCGGGTGCCGGGCGTGCCCTCCGTGTCTGCGCCGCACGCGTGGTGACGGTACGCGCCGCGGCTGCCGCGCCCACCGGGGAGGCGCTGCGTGCGGCGGCGACTGCCAAGGCCCAGGCCGCCGTTGACGCCTATGCGCGCGAGTCAGCGACATGGACTGAGGTGGGGGGAAACAAGGGCAGGTGCCAGCCAGGCAAGGGTTGTCACCTAGGGTGGATCCGCAGGGGGAGGGATGGCAGGCGACATGGGCTTGCTGGCCAGCCGCATCTGGGCTGGGCTGCCTGCCAAAGCTGCACCCCGCCAGTCCAAGGGGGGCGGGTGGCGCATGCCAGCGCTGGATGTGCTGCGCATGCTGTGGGCGTGCACTACGCGCAGTTGCCTGTGTTACCCTGGGCGGTCCCCTCAGCTTTTTCAACCTCACTGCCAGGCTGGCGCTCCGCATCAACCTTTCCACCTGCCGTCGAAACCGGCGTCACCAGGTGACGTTCTCTCTGCGCCGCCGCGCCGACCTGGGTGACGCCTGGAAGCTGGTTGGCCCCGCCGCCGAGCTCGGCCGCTGGATCCCTGACGTCGCGCGCCACATGGCCTGGGCCGAGGGCGACCAGTGGAGCGTCGCGGTCAGGCTGCCGCCTGGGGAGCACGCGTTCAAGGCCGCGCTGCGCGCAGCAGACGGCACAACCACCTGGGAGGCCGGCCCAGACCGCGCCGTCGTCGTGCCCGCGGGCGGCGGCGCGCTGTCTGTGTCACTGGACGTGCGCATGCCGTGGGAAGTGACGGCGGAGCAGGCCGCCGCGCCCTCGCCGGCGGTGGTTGTGCCCCAGGCGGCAA